AAGGTTTTGGGTGTTTGTGACTGGAAGTGAGGGGCATAGGTAGGGTAGCTTGTGTATAGTGCATTTATAATTCGTTTCGGAACCGACGTTTTTGGCTCAAGGCCAACAGCAGAAGCCTAAAAGGTGCATTCATTTATTATGGGTAATGCAGGATTTATATCATCAACCGTAGTGCACCCCCAAGCCCCACTCTAAGTCATAATGTCCCTCTGTGAAACACACCCGATCTCGGTTCATCACGGGTCTGATGTCGATGGCATGCAGGTTGTTCTCGGGCTACCGTCCAACCGGCACGGAGACAGAAGCACCACCAAGCACAATCAAACAAGAAGCAATGCAGCAAACAGCAGCAACATGCAGGCGACCCCATTCTGGTGAGTGACTGGCAACAAGCATGCTTCATGAATCTCGCCATCTCCGGGCAGGACAACTTAGCGAAGGTCTTCGCCAAGAAGTGTGGGCCACAGGCAGAGATGTTCCAGATCACCGATTGAGTACCGGAAGAACCTCGCAGTCCAGACTCCAAGCTCCAAGCCCCAAAATCTCAGCCCTGGCTTCCTAAACCCTAACACCCTCAAGCCTTCTAGACCCGAGTCTCGGACACTGCTGGCCCGGCCCTCTCCTCATGCCATGCGCAAAGCGGAGACAGCCTCGCATCGCCACGGTCACCGTTTGTCAAACTCATCCGCTTCATGATCCGTCATCATCTTCTTCATCATCAAGGCTGGCCACCATCAGCAGAGCCATCTCCATTATCTAGCAACTATACCCTGTAATGAGCGCGGATAGGACGAGTACAGCTAGTACTTGTAGCATTGGTAGCAGCAGCCCGAGTGGTAGAAGCATCTAGTGGTGGTGGGTGCTGATGGTGGTGTTGCCGTCCGATTGGAGCTGCAAAACGAGCTTTATCAGACCTTATCACCTGAGCTGATGCCTTAAAACAACACATGGGTCGGTCTCACGTTCTGCGTGCATCTTTCCATTGCTGAGGCTTCCCGAGGATGAAGCGCTGCAGCTTGCGAAGGTGCCGAGAGTTTTGCAGGTAGCAAAGCATGCGCAGATCCCGGTACAAAGACGCTTGCGGGCATGACGAGGGAGAGAAGCCACAGCACAACGCGAGGTCAGGTATGGTAGACAGACGGCAAGATAGAAGGACAAAAAAAATTGAAATGGTTTGGCCTTAGCCTAAGATGAGCCAGGTCAAGCCATAGAACAGTGTGCAGTGGAAGCCAGGATGTTCGACTTTTTGTTTGCCGCGCAGTGCTGAGTAGCGAAATTGGACCAACATCGACAAACTGTAGGCTTATCCACTTTCTTAAGTTGCAGCTTTGTGGCCCCTTCTTACTATCCCTTCCGGCGAGTCGCCGCTTTGCCTCACAAGTCGAAGACTCCTGCCATTTGGGTTTTCCAGCTGGGTGTGAATGAAATGTTGCTTCGTTACAAGGAGGTTAGAATCTTGATGGGGTTCTGTAGTCTACTCGCAGCACGGAGCAATCAGCAAATCGCTTGCAGACAGCCCCTCGGATGCTCACGCTGTTTCTGCGAGGACTTGGACGTGGATGGCGGGGGCAAGGTTGTGCTTGATCAGGCCTTCCCGCGCTGCGTGAGAGTCACCCTCATCCCAACTTGTTTAACTCTTCTTGCTGGCTACATGATGCTACATGTCAAAGTCTTGTGGACGGTGTAAAGAATCCTGCTGAAGTAAAACGCAGTCGTAGATGTTTCCAAGCCCTCAGACTCCAAGTAGCCCCCAAAAGTAGGTGACATTTAGACTTTCGACCCCATAGTCGGTGCTTTGGGTCGTAGGGAAAGTGAAGTATGAGACTCCTCAAAGCTCGGCAGCTCGGGAGGCTCTCCAGCTTGTTACGGCAGCCATAAAGCACCCACACCGTTGAACCGTAAAGCGATAACTCCCTACAGTCCCTAGACCCCATAATCCTCAAGCCAAGTTGTCATTCCCTGAAACCTTACTCCCTAAATCGAGAGACTTTCCCGAAAGCTTTGATACTTCCGCGCAAAGTTGTGTCTTCGAAGGTCCTGGGATGGACGCCTGCCCGTCTCGCTTCGCCTCCGTCTTCGGCTGCAGAGTTTAACTAACAGAACTACGCCTATGATTCCCTAACTAAGGGGTCCAAAAAGGGTTCGCAGCGCCTTGTTTCGAACTCCCAGGGCTCAAGACGTACTCCGAAAGGTTTTAAACAAAAAACCAGTGCCCAGTAAGACTCTCCTGGACGGTTTAGGGTTCAGGGCTTATAGGTTTAGGAAATCGACAATCCAGCTGGTTTTTGGTCTCGGGAACCTACGACGGAGCTTTAAATCCTTGGTTTGTAGCGGCAAGTTCAGGGCGCCTTCTTCTCAAAGCTCTCAGACCAGAAGGCTTTGTAAGATCCTGTAAAAAAAAGGCCAAGACTGCGGAACTATGCTCAACTTCCACAGCATTCCACAGCGGTAATATGAATCTCAGTACCTCCAGCATCATAGCAAACACCCTACCCATAGCCTCCATAGTAGTTCCTTTTTGCGACTTATATTTAGGTTTATATGAGGTAATCCCGACAAGGAACTACTTTGGAGCCTACGGGTAGAGTGATCAAAACATACCTCCGAACCCTCACCATCCTGGCAGGGAGCGCTGCGCGAACAACGTGGAGTTCCTCGATCGGTTCAAGTGCGCCCTCCTGTGTGGGTCTCTTTCTGCTTGTGTGGACATCAGGAACTTGACTTCTGAAGTGTTTAACACTCGGGTTTCTAGGAGTTGTTGTTGATTACCATGAAACTCCAAGTGTCTATCAAAAACATACGGTTTTGGAGGTGTGTTGTCGCACACTTATATGAGGACTCCTCGGCGGGGGCTGTTATGAACTATTCAGAGGGGTGTATAGGGCTTCGGGGTTTACTAGACTTTCTCAGAAAACTATATGCCTGTGAAGCTTGTGACCTGCTGTTATCGTCAGGCAGGTAGGTAGACAGAGGGTTTCAACCATAAACCATAAGCCCTAAACCCTACATCATCCCATAGAATCATGGCAGGGGCTCGGGTTGGGGCTTATGCTTGTAGCGTTGCTGTGGGCCTTTCGAGTGCTTGTGGACTTTGGCATTGGCGAATGTTCCCGTCAAGGCGGCTAATCCGAGTCAAAAAAATTGAGACTTACTTCTGGCTTTTTGGCACTCAAGTATTAACGAAAACTCCTTACATCGTATGCAGCATGCTGTTAAACGAGGGGGGTTCTCCTGGATGAACATGAGCACCGACGTTTCGCAAAATGTTCTGTTTGCTTGACTTCTGGGCAGGATGTTGCAAGCGCTGAAGCTGCCAGTCCTGGCATCTTGGCTCCTTTTGGGGGCCGCCGCAGGTCTCAAGGTAAAGCTTTGAATTACCGGGCATCAGTTTTGAGGCACACTTGGGTTTATCCTTTCTTGCACGCCGGGCTATGCTGACACAGGTATGGTCATTAGCACATGAGGCCTATCAACTTCGCAAGACTCGGAACCTGTTCCCTGGATAAACAGAGCTGAGCGCCAGAATGGCAATAGCAACACGGCTTTCTTGTCTCGCCATAGCGACAGCAATACAATGAAGGAATTATCATGGCTTGACATGATAGCTCCGTGATGGAGATATTTACGTGCCAAGCCAGCATCTCAGGTGTCCGGCGTTGGGTCGGAGCCTTGACTTTGTGCGAGCCGCCGGCCATCGCCGCCATAACCACCCGCGAGGGATGCCACGACGATTTCGATTTCTGCATGTCAGGGGCATGAATACGCCAGAGAATATCTTCAGAAATTCTGGCTCATACTTGCATGTGCGTCTTGATCTTGCCATACAGAGCTGGAAGCAGACAGGAACCAGCCAATAATGCTAGTAACAGTACTCTGTTAAACATGATAAAGTTAGCAGTTTTGAAGCAACATGAATAACCATACCCTAAACCCTAAGCCCTACACCCTAAACCCTACACCCTAAACCCTACACCCCAAACCCTACACCCCTAAACCCCTAAACCCCTAAACCCTAAACCCTACACTTCAGTAGGCATGTTATGTGGTAGCAATCAGGTCGGACTCTCAACTGTCATCCTACCTCGGGCGCTACACCAATGCGCCCATTGTGCTGGCGGCCAGAGACCCAGGGTTTAGGGTTTAGGCGGTTTACGGTATGCTTTCCGGTTTAGGGTTTAGGCGGTTTAGGGTTTAGGGTTTATAGTTTGGGGTTTAGGGTTTATGCTTCACGGTTTAGGGTTTAGGGTTATGTCAAATTATGGCATTGTCCTGGGGCTTTTTTTCCTTGTGAAGGCATCGCGGCCTTGCTTCTGATGTTTTCTGGAGGAGATCCTTCAGAAAAATCCACGCAGCCTGCAGGGAATCCAGACTCCCACAGGCTTAGGGTCAGGGCAGTCAGGGTTTGGAGTGGCTGAGCGTGAGGCCTGTCTGGCCCTTGTAACATGTTGCTCATGCAATCCCATGGCATGGCGTTGTATGACATATGACATATGTGCCAAGTCAAAGCTCAGCCCAATGAACCCCAAACCCTACCCCCTCCTCTCAAATAACACGACAAAGCCACAGATCATCAAACCGCCCTAAGCCTCCAATTGCGCTTTCTTCAGCTTCTAGAGACGCTTTAGCTTTCAGGGTTTAGGGTTTTTTGGGCTCAGCTGATTTTGTCTTTTATGCGTTATTGCTCGTGGCGGGGGAGTTCCACCGAGGTGCTTTGAAATGTCTAGAGGAACTCTGAGGCTGTAAGTGGGTTTAGGGTTTAGGGGTTTAGGGTTTCGGGTTGATGGTTTACGGTTTATGGTTTATGGTTTAGGGTTTATAGGGTTTAGTGGATCGGAATATGACTCTTGACTGAACTCGAGAATCCGTTCTGCTGAGGTTGGTGGCGGCAACTACGACATTGGCCGAGGAATCTTCCAGGAGAGCAACCTTACACCTCCACCTCGCCGTAGCACCTAAACCCTAAAACCTAAACCCGAAACCGAGGAGTTCGGACATGGAGCCGTGTGGACTATCGCCTGCTAGGAGAAGAACTACTCCACCTACAAAGGAGGCATGCTTGAGGCAACCGGCTGTGAGTTGAAGGGAGCTGTTGACCCAACAGCATTACACTACTCTGGGGGCGGTGCTGATACCCCGCGCTCCTTCCCTGCTGACTGGAGATGCGCCGTTGCACCGACCTTGAAGTTTGTTTGCTCACTCCAAAGACTTATATAGACGATGTGTTGGACACGTACTTTTGCTGCAAACGGCATCGAGTAAGCGGGCATGGATCGCAATACCAGGCCTTCGGCAAGCTCTTTGCGGGCAATGTGCGGATGTTCCAGTATCCGAACATTAGCCCGTGGCTCAGGCCTGCAATGTAACTGCAACACCATGAACTTCATCTATCCTGCGACGTCGCGCGTTTGCTTCCGGGGTTCTCAGGTCTCTGGCGTAGACCGATCAGGATCGAACACTTGCTTGGCTCGCCGGCTGCGCAGGCAGTCACTTGACCCACGTCGAAAGGCCAGCAAGGCAAATGGAAGGATGCCAGGGTTTCGAGAAAAGGGCCCTAAACCCTAAACTCTGCCGGAAGCCAAATGAACTTCCGACGCTCCGAGGTCCTGAGGGAGAGGTCTCTGAGAATGTCGAGTTCTCCGCCGGCTCGACGGAGCCCCGCTGCTTTGCACTCGCCGGGCAGGGAAGATAGGGGGATCGGAGTACGCTTCGGAGGGTCGGGGGGCAAGTAGGTAATACGGTTGATGGTATAAATCCTGCATTACCCACAATAAGGAATATACCATAATTCCCATAGTTTAGGGTCCTTAAGGTCATGCAGGATTTATATCATCAACAGTTGGACATAGTATGTAGGGAATGTACTTCATCTAGGGTTATAAATAGAAAGCACCCTACAATGACAGGGGACCCTAGATGGAGTTGATGTTGCTTATAATCGCAGCCACTACTTACCACAACCCCCTGATCAGACTTTCGGGGGACTGGGGAAGATGCGAGTGAGGAGATCGCCGTGACTTTTGTTTATGTCATGCGGTGACGCGGTATCTTGAAGTTGTTACGAAAGAGTGCCCAGTCATTTCAATGACAGCTGCCATGACAAATTAGAGCAGATGTCGAATAAGTCAGGTAGAGGCTGTGGAGCCGTTGTGGACATTGTAGGAGTTGTCGGTAAATTCCTTATAGCGGTTTGCTATCTTTATCGGCATGGGTCTATTGAAACAAGTAGGCCCTATAGTATGCGAGACAGGAGTATCTCCACCGGTTTCTGGTCGAGCAGGAGAAGATTGTCCAAGCCTCAGAAATGTCCTAACAGAAGCGGCCACTCTGCCTTCAGACAGGTTAGGGTGCAGGGAAAACCCTGAACAGCATTGAGGTTAGGGTGTTGCGCCGCGACAGTGTGGCCGTTTGGTCATGTAGCTTCTTCTGACTAGACTAGCTGCATTCTTTTCCCGCGACGAATGTGGACAGTTGGAGAACATATGTAGCTATGCCTTCGTCGCCTTGGATTACAGGTGATCTTGTGCTGTCATCCATAGTTCCAGGGTAGGTCTCCCCTCCCTGGCTGTTTTAAACTTCCCGAAACCCTGCGACAACCCTACGTATGCATACCCTATAGTTACACCCTAAACCCCAATAACAAACAAACTTAAGGTCTCCATTGAGCCGACCTACATGAACAGCTTCGCCGTCAGCAAAGAGTCCAACGAGCCCTATCGCGGGCAGTCCGAGGAGACGGCATAGGGCTTTTCGGGTTTTCGGGGTTTTAGGGTTTTGGAGTTTGCTGCTGTTGTAGCGACTACATGCGCCCACATGACACGTGGATGTCACATCGAAGGTGCGATTGAGAGTTCGCAACATTCAAGGATACTCTGCAGTTCGCTAGCTTTCAGCTCACATAGTCTGCAATTTTACTGCAGGATGTCGTGCAGCTGATGCGGAATGGCGACCCTGAGTGGCAGAAGTACGTGCCTGACGAGGTTGGGTCGGACGACACAGGGGCTCCTCTAAGGTTCTTTCAGCACGCTCGTGGTCTGCTCCTCTTAACCCGTGTCGGGTATCTGCCTTAATTCGTGGCAAATCCAAGAGTCATGTCAACACAGCGGCACATTGGGAACGGTGATGTCGACTAGCATCAGAGGCTATTGTGGGCAAACCCTGTGTGCTTGTTGATGTGTCCCCACAGTGCGGCAGTCCAAGTGTATGGTGACAAAATGTGACAAGCCTTGGATTGTTGTTGTGGCGGCGTTCATTGCCGTGGCGTTGCTTTTGACGTTTCAGGTGCTGTGCTACACGATGATTTGTATTCGTCTGCAGTCGTTTTATTCTGCTGTGGGCAATTGTCCGTTCTTCTGTTGCTGCTGCCGTTGCTGTTTCTGTTGTTGTTTCTGCTGTTGTTGTGGTTTATGATGTGGTTGCTGTTGCTGTTGCTGTGATGATGGCGTTGCCTGTATTAGCACAAGCGGAAGACGACCTTTGATCCAAGACATCTCGCTCAGCGTTGCTTCTTCGAGCATCACCAGGCACACGGCATCATCAAGGAGTCCAGCTGGTTTCAGAGGTGCCACTCTCTGTCTGCGGTTTGGGGTTCAGGGCAGCATTTCGAGCCAGATCCGCAAGCCCCGCCCTGAATCCTCAAGTGCTCGCTGTCCTCCGGCCAGCATGGGAGGTCACCGAGATTCTTACCGCAGTAGAAGCAAAAGCAGACCTCCGAAGCAAACAGGTACACTGCCGGAGGTGCCACCTCCCAGCAGGCCTGGCTTTGCGGGGGCTTATTGTTTCAGAAACATCAGAAAGACAGACAGTTTTGTTCACAATGTAGGCATTTCTGCAGATGTTCATGGTCTTGCTTACTACACCGCCTCTCGAAATGGCGACCTAGCAAGCGACTTCTGTTGCAAACGGCACGTCTTCCTCAAGCCTTTCTCCCCTAGAGGGGAAGATGCCTCTACCCTGCGACGGTTGTTGGCTCCATGCAGGTTTTAACTTCTTTAAGATCGAAACCACGGATAGCAGACACGCTTCGAAAAGAACGGCATTCACAGACTCTTGGAGATCCCCATGTGAGGTGTGTGAGGCTCCGGCAATATCATGTTATACTGTACTTTGTACTATCTTATAGTATATTATACGATGACATATTATAAATAACAGCATACTATACCGCTACTAGGCTTTGGAGACTGTGGTACCGGTTGTCGGGTGTCTGGAGAAACAGCTACTTCTAACGCAGGGCTCTCATTCAAAGCAAGCTCAGGTCATCTACAAGGCCTTCGAGGTCCTGGATGAGATCGGAAAGGAGTGAAGCAATGCCACAGACACAAGACGCCAACACCAAGTGCATAACTGCTGCATGATCTGCAAACTGACAGCCCTGTCGTCCTCGTCAGAAGTAACAACAGAGCATTCTGCAGCATGGAGTAAAACACGTGTGGCGGTTTGATATGTAGTTGTATCCCACAGGGTGCATGGAAAAGACTCTAAGAAGCATAGGGTGGTATTTTCCAGTACCAGTCTTTCTTGTGACATCTTGCGCACACAAGAGCGGGTACAGAACGGGCAAAATAGGTGCTTGAAAGAAAGTACGCGTCCGTGTATACTAGTCGTAAAGGCTGTGCAGATGATGTGGAAGAGGTTCTGCAGCCCTAAGCTCGTTTCAGGAATTCAGGGCAGCCCTAAGCGCGTTTCAGGATTTCAGGCCTATTCCCAGAGATCCAGACCCTAGCTGCGTTTGATCATTTGTCCTCGCCAGAGCAAGCTCCGCATCGCACCTCGTCTCTAGGCCAACTGGAACTGCGTTTCATTTGTGAACTTGCCTCCTTCCATAGGCATAACTTGCTTCGATCCCCGCACGGAAACACCAGCCTTTCGCATAGGATGTAGGCAGTAGCTCGCTTTATCCTATAGCATGGTATAACAAAGCCAGCGATATTGTAGTATAGTCAAGTCTAGTACAGCATAGCATAGCATAGCATCAAATTCTTACCAGGCTTTGTACAGCTAGTGACAGCTAGTGTAGTCCAGTGTAGTGTAGTGTAGTGTAGTGTAGTAGGGTACAGTAGAGTAGAGTCTACAAGCCCTAAACCCTAAACCTTGAACTGTAGTCTATCATAGTCACTTACAAGATGCTGACCCGTCCCCCTACCGCTGCAACCCCCCCGATTTTTCACGGGCGTCTTAGCCCTTTGTCTCTCCTCTCCGAGACAGACCCAGGCTAGGCACCAGGCCGCCATGCATTGCAGAGTTTAGGGTTTTCAGGGTTTTTAGGGTTTTTAGGGTTTTTAGGGTTTAGGGTTATGATGCTATACTATTTGTACAATGCTCTGGCACACGATGCACTGCAATGCTTTGCAGTGCTATGCTATGATATGCAATGCAGTTATGTGCCATGCTGCCTTCGCTACGCTGTGGCATGCTAGCTATGCGTGCTATGCTATGCGATACCAAAGCTGTCATGCCATGCCATCCCAACGCCACCACAAACGACCCTATGCGGTCTCATACCGTACCGGACTCTAAACTGCGATATGCTATACGATATGTTATAGTATATGCTATTAAAATACTATGCAGTACCAAACGTTACCGTTTTGCACTGTACTTGTACTTTACTATACTACTACTACACTATATCATACCATGCAAAACTCTACCACACAATCCAAAAATACATGGATGTTAGTGTTTGGTCCGTGTGCTCCTTGGAAAGACTGTGTGCCAATAGCTTTCCCAGTTGTGGTCGAGGCTTCAGAGAGGGGATATCGGTTTTACACTACCTATTGGGACAGCGGCTGAGGGGTGAAACACCTCTTCGCAAGCTGCGATGCTTTTACCTGGAGGCCTTCAAGGCTCTAATCTCAGCAAGGAGTCCACCTTAAAGCCTCTAAGCCCGAAACCCCTTAGCCCAGCGCGGTTGATGTAGTAGGCCTGATGCGGAGGAATCAAAGCTTCTGCCCTGAAGGATCCCAAAAATCCTAAACCCTAACTCCCTAATAAAACGCTAAGCGCGAAGGGTACGGAACTCATGCTAAAAGAGCCTTCAAGGGCATCGCAGGCCTCGGCCGATTGAAGGCCAGACCGCAGAAAATGCGACCGCGAGGATGGTGTGAAAAACTGAGCTTAGGGCGGTGTACGCACTTCTTGAGGTGGGGATTCTAGTGTGTTTTGTGGTTTTGTGTGTGAGTTTCGGGTATGTTGTTGTTTGTCTTTTTGGAGGGACGGGGAGCTTTGAATAGTGCGCAGGGTGCAATAGGAGGTCAAGAGGAATCTCCGGACGTGGGGTTTTTCTACACTCTAAATTCGAACACCCATCATAGCGTCCCATTTAAGGGAAATGAACATTCTCTGGGCATCGAGAAGGGGCACTACTCTAGCGAACTGCCCATGTGCTTCATGCTGCTTTTGCAGGTTTGGCCTGGCACTTTCATCCACTCAAAGAACATGGACCACGCATCTGACAAGTGATCTGCGATTTGCCATACCTCTGCACCCTAAATTTGGCCCTAAATGCTATAGCCGTATTTAACCTGAATCCGAAAGTGCTCTCTGTCTCCCTCTCTCTCTATGTATATATACAAGTAGTTATGTACGTGTATATATATATATATTATAAATATATATATATATACATACATACAACGACTAATGTTTACATATATATATATACATACACACATATCTATACACATTTTTATATAATATATTTCTACAACCCGAGCATCACCGGTCAGGCCCCGATGGTGCGACTGGTTGAGTCCATCGAGAACGGCCCAGAGGCAAAGCAGCGGAGCAGTGGTCTGTTCTATTCTGGCCTGGTATGCTGTGGTATGGTGTTGTACAGTTTTGCAGAACATTGTAAAGCATGGTGTGCTGTGCTATGTGATAGAGTATTGGTATAGTAAAGCATAGTGTGCGATAGTATAACACACGTCAACTGCCAAGTGTCGTGGCTATGCTCTTTTCGCCAGCGTTTCCGCGGTGCATTCCGGAAGGGGGCACTTCTTCGTTTGGTGCCTGTCCTGCATTCTGGACGGTGATTGCGAGACTTCTCTTGCCCAGGCCCTCGTGCGGCTGAGCGTCCCAGACGGTCAGGCTCCTGACGATGAGATGCTTCCGGTGACTTTTCGAGAAGTGCACGAAACTGCGCTACACTGCACTTTGCTTTATCATACGACACTATACGACAGTATACCTGAAAACTACTATCTACTATGTACTATATACGAATTTCTACTACTTGTAGGGTCGAGGGACTTTGTAAGTAAGTCTTGTAAACTTATCCAGATACAAGACTTATGATAGTTGCAATAACCGTAGTTAGGATGCCACTTCGGGTACTTATAGCTCTGCTTATTACCTACTTACGAATTCCTCCAACCCTCCAAGTATGTATTATAGTACGATCATACTTCTTACTATAGACTACACAGTGACTACACATTATGTTTTCCAACTGTGGTCGCTCATCCAGTCGTCGCCATTGCCAAAACGGGCCAGTCGGAGATCAGTTGTGGCAAGACACCTTCGTCCAAAGGACACTTGTCAGGCCTCTGCAGACAACTTCGTTCTGTTTTGTCCGAAGACTAGGGTTTAGGTTTTTACCGTTCATCAAGACTGATTCAGGCCCCCTATGTTATAGAATCCTATTCTGGAAACCTTATAGGCCCCCGTGCTGAGGGATCCCCTTGTATCAAGGATTTCCAAGGCCCCAATTTTACCTCCTCCTCCGGGATGGGGTGGCAGAAGCCTTGGAAGGCTCCAGGCTCCCTGCCGGAAGGATGCTACGTGGAGTTCCTTGGCCATGAGAGTGGGAGGGGGCGGGGACTTCGAAGAATTTATACATGTGTATGTATGCATGCATGTATGTATGAATGTATGTATGTACGGGCGTGTGTGTGTATATACATATATATATACACACACCGATGGTTTAGTATGGTACGTTATGGACGCTGCTGTAGTCTACGTACTTCAGCATGCT